CTGCTGGCATCAGACTGCTGTAGCGGGAGGAGCGACATCTGCTGCACAGTGGCGAGCATCGTCAGTGTTGCTTCGGATATCAGTGTTTGTGTGTATGTATGGCGCTTGCAGCGGTTTGTTCGACGAGTGCAGCAGGGACAGCAGCAGATGTGCAGCGGGGACGTGAGGTGCAGCGGGGACATGAGGTGCCGCGGGAGTCGCGCGGGGAGTCGGCGGGAGATGTGCTGGGCGACGACATGCTGCTCGAGGAGCTCTCCAGGCGCTTCCAGGGGGTGCTGCCGATTCAGCCGGGGCCCACGCTACTGGCCTCGGACCAGACGCCGTGCACGCTGAAGAGCACGCTGCTCGGCGGTCATCTGATCTACTGCTTCCCGGTGGGCGGCGAGTGCCGGCTATGCTTCCCGCAGATCATCAGCGTGGTGCTCGGTGGCGTGGCCAGCGTGACCGACGTGAACAGTCTCTTCACGGAGCTCAACATCCACATATCGGTGGCGAGCCGCCAGCAGCTGGACATCCTGAAGATGGCAGGCGTGATGCCGTTGAGTGCGGATAGCTGTGGTCTGGTGACCAAAAGTGACGCGGAACGGCTGGTGGCCAAGTTACTGCCGCAGACAAGCGGGCCATTGCGCAACGGGATGTCGCGGGAAGGTGCGGTAACGGTGTTTCACGAGTGTTTCGGCGGGTGCAGCGGGCTGTTGCTGCCGGCGCTGAGCCCGGGTGAGTGCATCGAGTGCGAGCAGTGCAAGTGCGTGTTCAGTGGCGAGAAGTTCGTCTCGCACTCGCACTCCACGAACGAGGTGCGCGGGGTGTGCCACTGGGGCTTCGACTCATCCAACTGGCGCTGCTACCTGCACTTGGACGAAGCGCACGAGCTGGACCCTGTCGCTTCGCGAGCTCTGGAACTACTCAAATGCCCGGAGGTGCGTCTCGGGAAACGATCAGCCGACTGTACTCTCGACAAGGTACGTAACATGCATTTGCTGCCTCGCCCACTTCCTGCGATGCGACCCTGTCTCCAAGCCAGGAGACTGCGGATGGCGGGCAGAGTGTCTTGGCCAACTGAGTGACGCAAGACGCCGCTCGACGAGCAATTGCCTCTCGTGCTGCGTTGTCCGAGGTTTGGCATCCTCGGGTTTGCAAGGGACGGAGAAAGCAGAGAGGTCGTTGCATGCTTTTCCTGAAAAAGGCATTCCTTTCTGACGTACGGCGG